GGATATGTCAAAGAGAAAGTAAAGATACGAAGCGAAGCGAACTGCGAAAAAATGGAAACACCAAAGTGCGAGGCGCTGCTGAAGGTCACGTTACCTTCGCTGCTGCTGCGTCGGCGCCTTCACCGATCGTCGCTGCTGCTGCGTCGGCGCCTTCACCGATCGTCGCTGCTGCTCCGTCGGCGCCTTCACCGATCGCCGTTTGAAGCTTCGGTCGCCAAAAGGTCTGCATCAGGAAACGGCATCAGGTTAGTGCTACTAGAAACCTTAACAAATGAAAAATAGCGATTGGATATGCGTAACGGCGAAACGGCCAAAGAAAATCGAGTGGAACAAAGACTGTGCTTACCAGTGACAAGGGGCAGCGACGAAAGAGGCCGTCAGCGGGACTTGGCGTCAGGAGCAACGGCGACGGCGACGGAGATTATGAGCAGCGGGACAACGCGTCAGGAGCAACGGCGAAGGCGACGGAGATAATGAGCAGCGGGACTTGGCGTCAGGAGCAACCGCGACGGCGACGGCAATTATGAGCAGTGGGACATCGCGTCAGGAGCAACGGCGAAGGCGACGGCGTTGATGAGCAGCGGGACATCGCGTCAGGAGCAACGGCGACGGCGACGGCGTTGATGAGCAGTGGGACTTGGCGTCAGGAGCAACGGCGACGGCGACGGCGATAATGAGAAGCGGGATTTGGCGTCAGTAGCAACGCCGACGGCGTCGGTGGCATATTAGTACTTGTCGGAAGTTTCGTGTCTCGGCCATCTTCGGTCGCCGAAGACGGTCGCCATGACTGTCGCCAAGAAGGTCGCCGAGGTCTGAAAGAAAGAAGAAGGCGAGATATTAGTACTTGTAAAAAGAAACCGAAGTTACTTGAAACAAAAATTTGAAGTGATGTACCATCGGAGACAAGTCGGCCATTGGCGACGGTCGGCGAGCTTCCCGTTGGAGGCGTCCTTCCGGTTATCATAAGTGCTTGGGTGCTTCCGTCATGAAGACTTCTATCCGCTTCCGGCATGGCTTAGGTCTGAAAAAAAGAAGGAAAGAAAGGATTAGTAAACAGAAAAACTGAAGAAAAGACCAGAGACGATAATCGGGAATGACTTACCCGAACAAGTTGGCGACTGTCGCCGGGAGCCGTGCGGATCTTGACCTTCAGGTCTTCGCCACTTCGGATCTCAAACGGCGATGAAGCTCCTCTCGCGGCGACGGTGAGTGATCGCCAATCGGCGAGCTTGACTTGAGTGCGTCCCGTCTGTAGAAGAAGGGAACAAATGATTAGTAAAAAGAAGAACTGAAAAAAAGACCAGCGACAATAATCCGGTATGACTTACTTCAACAAGAAGCGCCTTTCGTGGCGATGGTGAGTGATCGCCAAGGGAGGCGCCGTGCTTCACGTTGAAGCTCTCGAAGTCCTTTCCATGGCGAGCTCGGAGCGTAGACCTCGCTGCGAAAAATTCGCAGTAAATATTCTTCGCGTGAAGATCGTGTAATGAGGACCTTGCAGATATGCTCGCGCCACGTAGATATGGCGGTTCAGATTTCGCGGTGAAAAAGGTTGCCCGCGGAAATTTCGGCATAGTACAGGTTCAGCCAAGGCACTTGGCAGCTCACTCCTCACGACATCTACCCACCCACCCCACACCCGACTCTCTAACTCAACGCCGCTTCGTGCCTTGGCTTCCCCATGTACCATCCGGGTGAGCTCATTGGATTAGAGCTTCGAGAAAAAGAACTAAACAAACGCAGCATCACTAGATTATATGGAGCGGATGAGATGCTCGAGGGAGATGGAAGCAATTGTAGCTGATGAAACCGAAGGATAAGCTTGCTGCTGATTGGTGGATACAAATCCGCCATTTTGAACGGCGGCTGTGGCGGCGAGCCTTAGCTCGGCTTCAAAACCCGATGTGATTTTGAGTAGTAGAAAGTTACAGCATCTACATGGGTGCAGTACGGTGAACGGGGCGCGACACCATGCTGTGCTAGCGCCGTGTGGGAGGGAATTCCTAAATCCTGACACCAGGCTGTGTGCGCGGTGCGAAAAAGTACAGTGTGATGTGAATGGATGGATGGTGGTGGTGCAGTTTACCGCAGCGGTGGGAAGGTGTGCTGAATGGGGTGGCTTGTGTAATGAGCTGCAGCGCCGAGATAGCGGCAGTGACCAATTCGTCGAGCGGCGCGCGCAACACAGTTTGAGGCGGCTAAAATTGTGCCCCCGCCCTGTCCATCCTGTTCCACCAAAGTAATATAGCACATTCATTCAGGTTATACAAATTCGATTGACTTGTTTGTACGCAAACGCGTTTGCTAAAGGCGAGTATTGGTGGTTTGGGAGGTTTGTTTTGTTGAGCATGCTGGTGCGCAACAGAGGACATGCTCTAGCTTTCTAGGAGGTGGTTGACGTGGCGCTTTTTTTAGTTGGGGCATAAGTTTTCTAGCTGATCCGCGTGGGTTTTGCGTGAGGTGCGGAACGGCTTTGGTTTGGTTCAGGAAAAGTCAGCTGACCCATTCTCATCCTCCTAAATCTGTTCGGGCAGCTGGAATATGAATGGATGGATGAGAAGAAAGTTTCCCGAACCAATGGGATGGAGGAGTTTTTGACACCCTGGCACAACACCGGACCTTGTACCGGACCTGGTACTCCGAACCTGCCACCATTGCTTCACCCGCCATTTCCCAGATGTATGTGACTTGCATTAGCTGAGGCTAACTTGCATTTAGTAGTAGTTTCACCATGCTTCTGTTCAGTTACGATAGTAATTCTTCGTGAAGTCAAATCACTGCGCGGTAGTCGATTTAAGTAAAGCTTTTCATGTAGTTCGCGCTCTCGGTCGTGCTTATTCTTGATCGCTTTACGCTTCTAGGCATGCAGCGGTGCAGTCTAAGTTGCGCGCTCCAGATCTGACTTCTATCCACATGTGTAGTAGCGGACGGAATAGTAACATTAGTAGCGGACGAATTGGCAGCGCCGATTTCTGACGCATTAGTAGCGACTCGCATTTTGTCAATCAGACAGCGCGTTTCGTCGACTTCACAGCGTCGACGATATCCTGGACGCAAGTCGCGGAAAAGGATGTGAGTGGAGCTGACGGCCATTTCCCCTTCCCCCTCCCCTTTACGCTTCCCCCTACTTCAGAGCGTCTACTGTATTCTGAACGCGAGACGCGGAAAAGGAGGACGGGAGGTGAGTGGAGGTGAGTGGAGGTAAGCGGAGGGCAGAATAGAGGAAAATGGACTGTAGAAAAGGGGAAGCGCCCGTTTCCCCTTTGATTTCCCCTTTCCCCTCCCTCTTCCGCTTTCTCCTCCCCTTTCCGCTGTTCCCCTAACCTTTCCGCGTTTCCCCTCCCCTTTCCGCTTTTCCCGTCCCCTTTCCGCTTTTTTCCACCCCTTTCCGCTTTTCCCCTCTCCTTTCCCCTTTTACCTTTCCCTTTCCACATTTTCCCTCCCCTTTCCGCTTTTCTCTTCCCCTTTCCGCCTTCCCTTCCCCTTTCCGCTTTCCCCTTCCCCTTTCCGCCCTTTCCCTTCCCTTTCCGCGCTCCCCTCATCTGCCTGGACTTGAGTGCGCATAGACTGTCCCAGCCTGGACTCAAGACGGGAAAAAGGTAGAACGGGAGCGGAGGGGAGGTGAGCGGACGGGAGAAGAAAGTTGAAGGTGGGCGGAGCGGAGGGGCAAAGAGGGGAAATGCACGGAGAGGACTGGCGAAAGGAGAAAGCGCCCATTTTTTCCCTTCCTCCCGCCCCCCCACCCTCCCCACACCCCCCCTCCTTTCCGCAGCCCCCCTTTCCGCCCTCCCCTTTCCGTTCTCCCCTTTCCACTCCCCCCCTCATCTTCCTGCTGTAAGTTGAGTGAAAGGGATTACATCTGAGGTGAGTGGAAGGGGCTATTTCTGAGGTGAGTGATTTGGGTATTGGACGGGTGAAAGCCTATTTCACTTGTTGACAAATGTATTCGCACAATCTCCGATGTGGCATGACATGGCATGGTGTGGCATGGCATGGTGTGGCATGGCATGGTGTGGCATGCAATCTGCAGGCTGTCAGCAGCTTGAGGGAGGAGGAAAGAGGAGGGGTGAAGGGGTGTCGCACTGCATGCACACCGCGTTGCATCACCTTTGTTCTGCTGCTCTGGGTTGTGGTGTGGTCCCGCCACATCCTTTTTAAGTCTAATCTGTAGTTACTCGTTTGTTTGCCATACTGTCAGTAGTGGTATGTTCTAGATACGATACTCTCAGCTTTGGTTAGCTTTGGTTTCTTCTACCGTACTTACTCTCTGCTGTGGTCTCTCTGAGTACAGGCAGTACTGTACCAGGAACAAGCCTGAGCTCCCTATGGTATTGCAATGCCGTTAAACACTACCCAGCAGCATCTTGTACGTACCGGTGTGTTGCATTATGCACCATCATTACCTAGCTTGCATGGGCGGAAATGCTCAGTTGTGTTAGTGGACCAATGGACCAATGAAATTATTCTCAACAGAATGTACACTACACTACCCAGGAGGGCACTGGATCATTATCTCATACTCTCTCAAAGAGTACATGGCTTATCAGCCCAACAATGGTAAGTAAAAAAGCAATTTTATGGTAAGAGGCCCTTGCACTACAGAGTAGCCCAGAATAACGAAAGCCAAACTGCTCCCTGCTGAGATTCAGCTGGTCATCTTGAGCAGATTCACAACCGGGGTTTGATTTTGCTGTGCTTGGTTCCTCTAAAGGCACAGATGGACAGCCACATACGGTACCTACCGTAACTTGGGCCACAGGTACCGTAGTTTAAACCGTTTGCTGGAGTAGGAGGAGAAAGTTTCTCTCCACTTGAGTGCCTTCTGTGGCTGCAACTGCTGCTTAGTAGCCCACTGCAATGCCTCTTCCGTTTACGCATGCTGTGTGTGTCGAAAGAATCATGATTGCCACCATGTAATCCAACCTCTCACACTGCAAGCGTCTCACTGAAGAGCCCTCATTGCAGGCCCCTCGCTGCCTGCTGGCACGCCCCTCACCCCATCAGGGCAGGCTCCCCTGCGCCTCCTCACTGGCAGCACCGGGCCAGTGGCACGCGCCGTACTGCTGGTGGGGCTTGGAGGGGCGGCGGCGCGCGGCAGGGGGCAGCACGCCCATGGCCTCAGCGACCGTGGTGACGCGGCACTGCAGGCCCGGCCGCACCACATCGCCGTACACCGCCATCTCCACCAGGTCTAGATCCCTGTCTGCCCACGCAGTCATGCCGGGGGCACACAGGGGAAGGGGTGGGGTGGGTTGGCGTGAGGCGCACCACATCTCCGTACACTGCCATCTCCACCAGATCCAGGTCCCTGTCTGCCCATGCATCGCCGTTGGGGAGATGTGGGGGAAGGGGAGGGGGAGGGGCGGGGTGGGTTGGAATGAGGAGTGGAGAGGGGGAAAGGACGAGGTGGATGGGAAGCACGAAGGACTTAAGGAGTGAGGGTGAAATAGCTGGTGGTGGTGGTGCAAGAAGAATGGAGCACGGAGCGAGGAGCAAGTGTTACCTGTGAGAGCGGGGTGACAGGAGACATGGAAATACGAGATTTGAGTCGACTAACAGATCATCTCGAAGCAGAGAACACCATGGGCAAGGGGCAAGAGACAAGGAGCAAGGAGCAAGGAGCAAGGGGAAAGGAGCATGGAGCAAGGGTTAGCGTACCAGTGAGGGTGAGGTGGCAGGAGGCATGGGCGTACTCCTGCGGTGAGAGCTGGTCCTTGTCTGACTTGAACCGGTTCACCCGCGTCTGCAGCAGCTGACAGTTCTCCACCGAGGTCGCCCCACCTGCTCCCCGTGCAGGGGCGTGAGGGGTAGGGCAGGGATGGAGACGTGGTACAAGGATGACGCCCAGGAGGAGGTGCGGACATGTGGATGTGGTGGGTACGGTGCTTTCAGTGCATACCAGAGCATTCAGAGCAAAGGTTGGTTGAAAACTTTGTGGGTGCTAGAAGCAAGCAGCAATGAGACGCACAAGCACAGCACATGCGGAATGGTCACCGCGACACATTGCTACCGATGCGCACCACTGCTGCTGCTCACCTATGACCCTGCACCACTCTCGCCCTCCTCCACCCCTCTCTCACCTTTGGAGAAGGGCACGATGTGGTCGAACTCGTAGCACAGGCACCCCTGGCACGCGTTGAACCGCCGCCCCACCGTGTTGCCCGCCGCGTCCACGCGCCACCTGCCAGCCGCGGACCATGCGCGCCGCACGTGGTGGGAAGAGAGGAGGTGACTTTTGGGGCGAACTCTGAGGTCACCTCGCCACCCCGGGCCGTGCCCGTTACACGGGGCGAGGCGAGGGGAGATCCTGAGAGGCCAGGCGAGGGACGAGAAGAAGAGAAGAGAGAAGAGACGAGGCAGGAAAAGAGGGGATGCGCGAGCAGGTGGCATGTGCGCAGTGGCAGTGGGGCGCACCTGTCGGGGTGTCGGCCCGGTACGACGTCCGCCTGTAATGAGTCGTGTTATGAGTCGACTCAAAGCAGTGGTACGTGCGGTGGGGGACGCGCGAGAGCAGTGGCAGCGGCAGCGGCGCACCTGTCGGGGTGTCGGCCCGGCACGACGTCCGCCTTCTCCCAGCACGCCTTGCGCATCGCATGGTCGAAGAATCGCAGCCGTCGCCCGTCGCACTGCGACGCCTGCGCGTCGCCCGCGCCGTCCGGCCTGCTCGACGCGCCCGCGCCCGTAGCCTCGGCGTCCGTCCACCCGCCGGCCGGCATCGCGTCCTCCATGCGGACACCGCCTCTCGCCTTCCACTCCAGTACGCGACGATCCGCCGCCTTATGCTACTGCCGTGCTGGGAACGGCTTGCGGTGCGCTGCGTGGTGGGCGCCACTCCCGCTCGCTCGCTTCAGCTACAGCAGCGCGTGTCGGGGGAGCGTGGATCGCGGGGCGGGGATTGGCGCGGGCGGTTTTGCGGGGACGAGAGGGGGTGAGGCGAGGTGCACAAGATTTTGCGTGAGTTTTGACTGCAACGCTACAATAAACTCGTTCACACCAATTTCACGATCACCCCAAAATTTCGGACTTCACAACACACACTGAGGGTCTCGGACCAAAATCACGGTCAGCCCAAATTTCGGCAATTGAAACGACCATTCTCAGCGCTTCTTCTACCCCATTCCCATAGCACCGAAGTTACCGTCTGCGCGTCAGCCGCGTGAACATCGAGGCAGATCCACAGCTGTAAGCTCGCAAACACGAGGATTCTTTCGAAGGCCTGTGTGTAGTTCACGTGTAACGCTAGTGCGATTAGAAGCGAGGTGAGTCTCGACTCGCTAATCGACTCAGTTGGCGCGCGTGAGGCGAATCTGTGACAGATCTGATCAGAGGCGGCTAGCGGGGATGAAGGCGTACGCGCACTGGGACGGCTTTTGAGTCGACTCGAAAGAAGGCGCGTGTGAGGCTAATTCGTGACAGTGTCGATCTTTGGAGCGGCGAGCGGCGATGAAGGTGTACGCGCACTGGGACGGCGATCCGCAATTCACGCTCATCGCCGTAGTCGAGGATCGCGCGGCCGCGCCGGGCGCAGGCGGTGCGAGCGGCGTGCGGACAGCAGCGGAGCTCATCGCGGTGAGATGGTGGGCGCGTATGAGGGTGGCGGGTAGCAGCTTCGCAGAGTGGCGAAACATGCGTCACACCCCCCCTCTTTCGCTCTCACTCACACTCCCACTCACACTCACACTCACACTCTCACTCTCGCTCTCTCTCTGCCACTCTTTCTCCCCCGGTTCACTCCCTACTCTCTCTCATCACCCCTCCCTACAACCTCTCACTCAGCCCTCCCGTTATCCCGGTGTCGCATGCTCCTCGCCGGCCGCTCCGTGTGTAATCGCACGCAGCGCCTTTTAACTCAACCTCGCGTCTCCCCCCTGTCCCCTTGCCCACCTGCACTGCACCCCATCCCTGCCAGCGATTCGCCTCCGCTTTCAACGCCAAGGTGCGCCCATAACCTCCGCTCCTCCCGCTTTTATCGCATGCTCTCCCCTGACCGCCTTTCATTCTTCTCTTCTACTCCGTTCTTGCTCCGTCCCACCCACCTTCGTCCCCATGCCACTGCACCCATCCCTCCCTCCGCCTCCCATTCTTGCCGCCTTGCCTTAGCTGACTCTCTCTCCGTCCCTGCCGTGTTGCCCCATGCGCCTCACACCCCACCGTACAACGCCCCAACCCGCCACACCCCCCATCAGCACCCGTCCCATGCCCCTCTCTCGCCCGCGACTCTCTCCCTCCACAAAGCAAGGTGAGCCAGCCATGCCCCGTGCTCCGTGCTCCTTGCCCCATGCCTCATCACCTTTGGTCCGTACCAAGCCCTGCATGCACTCCCAATGCTCCCCATGCCGCCATGCCATCCACACTCCCTCCATGCCCAATGTACCCAGCCATCCCCCTGTCTCGCATCCTTTTCCTCCCTGCCCCGTGCCTCCCATCTCATGCAACTGCGCTTCTCTTTTCCGCCACTCTCCTCCCTTTCCCCATCCTTCCCTCTGCCATGCCATGCCATGCCGTGCCATGCCATGCTATGCTATACCATGCAGGGGTCAAGAGGTGTCTGGCAGCACAGCACTGAGCAAGGCAGTACAAGACCTGTGAGTCATTTGTTGTGGTGGGACTGGGACCATCACAGCACGACACAAGCCATGTGCCCATGCACCACCTTCTCACTCCCACAACTCACCACACTTTCTTCCCAAGTCCTCCTTCCTCCTCTCACCCTTTCGATGCATCCAACACCCAATTCCCTGCCCCTCCCTTCTCTTTGTCCCACGCGTGCCGACGTGCCGCACCCATCCGCCAGTGACGACCTATTCGTTCGCCACAAACCATCACCACCACGTTCCAAACCATCGCCTCTGCAGCAGCAGCAGCAGCAACAGGGGGCGGCCAACAGTGGAACATCCCCAGTGCAACCTCCCGACCATGGTGCCGCCACCGCACCAAGTGTTACCCCGCCCACACGCTCTCCTCCCCCAGCTTCACAAACCACCGCCCCTCCACCTGCTCCTCCTGCATCCATCCCTTCAGCATCAGCCAAGCACCTCTCAAGCCCATCCCCTGCGCCGTCTGTGGCAGCTGTGACATCGGTGCCCTCTGCCCCTGCTGCCCCCACCCAGCGCACCACACCTGCTTCACTCGCACAGGTCAGCAGGCTGTTCCCGCTTGTCTGCTGTTCCCGCTTGTCTGCTGTTCCTGCTTGTCTGCTGTTCCTGCTTGTCTGCTGTTCCTGCTTGTCTGCTGTTCCCGCTTGTCTGCTGTTCCCGCTTGTCTGCTGTGCCGTTTACTCTGCTCTTCCTGCCACACTGCTGTCTCATCTCCCCCCCACCCACTCCACACGCCGACTGCAGTCCCCTCGTCCTCGCCTGCTCTTACTCCAAGCCCCTGTTCCGCCTCACTCACGCACCACGTCTAACCCCCCCCCTCCCTGCTTACCCTTCTCCCGCTCTCTCCCGTTCTCCCCTCTTCGTGCCTGACCCGTGTGTCCGCCAGTCGCCTCTCGTGCTGCCGCTGGTGCGCCATGCAGCACAGCAGCTGCTGCAGGCGCAGAGGCAGGGCCAGTACCGGGTGCGCTGGCTGCTGCAGTGTGGGGCGCGGAGGGGGTGGGGGGTTGCAATTTCAAACGGTTTAGGGGGGCCCCTGGGGAGTAGACGGCTTCCTGCCTGTGCCGTGCTGCTGTGCCGTGTTGGTGTGCCGTGTTGGTGTGCCGTGCTGCTGTGCCGTGTTGGTGTGCCGTGTTGGTGTGCCGTGTTGGTGTGCCGTGTTGGTGTGCCGTGTTGGTGTGCCGTGTTGGTGTGCCGTGTTGGTGTGCCATGCTTGTTCATTCACTCGTGCATTTTCCAGGGGTGTAGCTCTGGGCTTGCAGTCGTATTCACTTGTGTTATGGCTTCCCCTCCGGTAGTGAGTGTCATGTCACGTTTGTGTGTGTGAGAGAGGGCCAGGGTGGGATGGGATAAAGGAAAGCAGTGCGGGACCAAGCATGGTGGCACGAATGAATGAACTTGTGCACTCCTCAGTATTCCCCATTATCAGATCCCTCCCGCGTATCCCTGTTCACCACCACTATTCCTCCTCTGTGCATCTCTCCCTGCTCTTCTTCCCTCCACCCCACGAACCCCCAACTCCCCCCGCCCCCACCGTCATCACAGCACGCCATGCTTTTGGCCAATGAGCTGCTCGCAGTGGCGCCCAACCTCAATCTCGCCTACAGGGCTCTGGGTGGGTGAGAGGGCAAAGGCAGGGGGGAGTTGAGGGATGTGCGCATGGCGTTGCACCCACCCATCGTGTCAATGGGACACCATATAGCGTGGTAGCTGCCATACCTCCTCAAACCCCACACACACCACCACAACTGGTGCATCGCATCCCATCCCATCGCATTCCATCCAATCCCATCCCACACACCCTCTCTCCTCACTCTCTTCCCCTGCCTCTCCCCCCCCTTTCCCCCCCCCCCCCCCCAGCGGCCATGCACATGGCCATATCGCGGCACGACCGTGCGCTCCCAGTGCTGCAGGCAGCCGTGGCAGCACACCCCTCCGACCCCCTCCTGCACCTGCGCCTCGCGCAGGCCACTCTGCACCTGCAGAAGCACACTGAAGCGCTCTCCCTGGCCGACCGTGCCCTCTCCCTCGCGACCAAGCAGGGGTGGCCGCAGCACAGCAAGCGCAGGAAAGCGGGGAAGGGCGGGCGAGGGGCGGGCATGGTGGGGGTGCTGGGCAGCCAGCAGAGCGCTGCACGGATGATGCGACGGGCCCGGGTCAGCGGGCAGCAGGCGGCTGAAATGTTTGGTCTGCCCGAGGATGAGGAGGAGGAGGAGGAGGAGGAGGAAGAGGGGGATGGGGGGAAACGGGGGAAGGATGGTGGGAAGAAAGGTGGCGGAACAGGGGGAGCATGGGATGTGGACAGTCCGTACGCGGGTGATCCACATGGCGATGTCTCATTGGACGACATAAAGGTGGAGTGTGGGCGGGCGTTGCTGCAGGCGGGAGCAGTGGACGTGGCGGCAGCAGTGGTGGCGGGGGTGTTACAGGGCGACGAGCACCATGAGGCCGCCCTGCTGTTATATGGCGATGTGCTGCTGCAGCAGCGCAAGGCACGCGCAGGCGCACACACACCTCAAGGAAACCCAGCGGAACGCTCAGAAGCGTGGGGTGCGGAGAGAGAGGTGGGCAGCGAGAGGGAAGGCGGGAGCATGCATGAGGAGGAGGAGGCGATGAAGGCGTATCTGCGCGTGCTGTTGCCGCACCCACAGCACTCCACGGCTCGTGCCAAGCTCGCCCACGTGCTGCAGCACCACGCCTCCGCGCGGCGCCTGCTGCTCTCCCAGCTGCAAGCGGGCGCAGGGGCACCTGCAGACACGGCGCGTGCACTGGTGTTCTTCGCCTCAGCGTGCAAGGACCACAGTGCGTTGGAGGCAGCGTGTGAGCTCATGCAGGTGGCTGTGGCGCTCGCTCCTGGGAGCAGCAGTCACGTGCTGTCGCTGCTGCATCTGCATGAGGTCATGCTGAATGGCTGTGCTGCGCTGCACCTCGCGCGGTCATACTGCCAGGCGAACCCTGGATTTCGCATTGGTCCCATCACGCTTGGCTCGGTGCTGCCGTTTTTTGAAGGGCTGCCCATCCATCCGGGCAGCTGCAAGGATGCTTCGCCCTGCCCGCATGAGAGGGGCGTGCAGCTGGAATTCCTCCGGAGGTGGGATTGTGGGACTGCACAGGAGGGCGGTGGTGATGTATCGGGGGCAGGTAATGCCGGGGTGGCCAGTAAGGGTGCAGAAAGCAATGGGGCAGATTGCAAGGGGGGCGGTGGGGGCGAGGATGGGGAAGTGGCGGGCGTGGGATCGGGAGTGACGGGAGTGGGATTGGGAGTGGGAGGGGGAGTGGGAGTGGGAGGGAGTAACGCCAAGGAGGAGTACAACACAGAGCAGCTAGACGTACTGGCGCTGCTGATGACGGCAGTGAAGGCGCTCTTCCTGGGAGGCGCCGTGCAGCGCGCCAAGGCGGTGGGAGCACTGGTGGAGCGAGCACGACTGGCGTCTGCGACACCCCTGCATGAGACGCTGATTCGCAACGAAGCGGCGTACTTTGGCTGTGCCTTCCAGCTGCTCTCACAGTACCCCATCCCCCACTCCCTCTCCCACAACGCACCACAACCACTGTTCCTTGCTGGTCAGTGCTGTTTCTCCCTCATCCCCTCTCGTCCCCTCTCTGTCTGCCATGTTTTCTGCCCCCTCCATTCCGTTGTCCTTCCCTCCCTGTTTCCCTCCATCCCCTCGTCTCTCCCTGCCTTGCCTCCTCCCCGCCATTCTTCACCACATTGCATATTCCCCATCCCCTTCAACATCCCTCCACCAGCATCTCACTCACTGCCACGAGCAGCACATACATCACATAAGCACACCTCCTTTCCCTCTCGTCACCTTCCACTCCCTCCCCATCGCCCCATCTCCCCCAGGTGACAGCCACTGCATGGCGGCAGCGTGGCGGGTGGTGCAGGTGAGGGGTCGGCCGCGGCTGCTGTGTCCGCTGCTGATCACGGGGCTCAAGGCGTGGCACCTGCGCCCCGAATCCACCTTCTTCCCCAAGGTCACCATCCCACTGCATTCATCTTGCCTCCCATCCCGCTTCTACTTACATACTTCCTCTTGTCGCCCTCACTCACTCCTGCATTTCCTAGCTCCCGCTTTCCCAAGGTCACCATCCCACTGCATTCGCCTCGCCTCCCACCCTGCTTCCACTTGTCTTCTTCCGCTTCTCGCTCTCACTTCCGCATCCCCCTACCACTCGCTTTCTCATCCCTCTCACTCACTCACCTCTTCTCTTGCCCCCGCGTGCCATGCCACCGTGTCTCATCTCATCCCCTGCATGCTTCTACCAAGCAGGCGTCGTTCCACCGGGCCATGCAGCGAGTGCCGGTGGGCAGCGAGGTGGTGGTGCTGTTTGGGGAGATAGACTGCCGCGAGGGCATCCTCATCTCAGTGGACCGCACCAAGTACAAGGTTAGCTCCCTCGCCACCGCCTCACTCTGCTCCTTCCTCCTTGACCTCCTCTCCTTATTGAGCTTTGTTCCCTCCTCCTCAGCACTGCTTCTTCCTCCCCCAGCATACCCACACCGCATCACTTCCCATTGCCGGTGTCACAGCAGTGTCACAGCTTGCCTTGTTGCCTACAGCCCTGCCTGCACCTGACCGTCCCCCACTGCACGCTTCAAGCCGTGGTGCCGCATTCCCTCTCAGCCCTTTCACTCCCCTCCCTCTGTTCTTTCCGTGCTTGCGGGAGCGCTCCTCGTGTGCGCGCACGACAGGACGTGGAGGAGGGGGTGGAGGTGACAGTGGACATATACATCTCCGTGCTGCTCTCGCTCATATCAACACGCGGCTTTGAGATATTCGTGCACCCCGTGCCATCAGTCATCCCCGACACGCGCCCTCTCGCGCGCATCTACAATGCCACGCTGCGCCGCCGCTGCCTGGCTGCTGCTGCCACCCCTGCCGCTGGGGGGCGCCTGCACATGCTGGACTTCTTCAATGCCCTGCTCACTGATGATCAAGGTACTATGCCCTGATTAGCGTGCATGCTAATGAGGTGATTTTTGAGGCGCCTCAAAAAACACCTCGATTGCACATGCTGGACTTCTTCAACGCCCTACTCACTGATGACCAAGGTATGCGTGCCAATGGCTTAGAGAAGTGGGGAGAGGACTTTTGAGGTGCTTATGCTGGACTTTTTCAACGGCCTGCTCACTGACGATAAAGGTACCATGAGTGCGAATGGCATGTAGCAGTGTTGGGGTCTCAGGGAGAGTGAGCAAGGAAGAGTGCGATGGAGGTAGAGTGGACCAGGAGCGGTGGTGATGTAGTTTCTGTGATTCTTTCTTGTGTGTCATACCCGAGTGCGCATTGCATGCCTTACACTTTCACTGCATGTTTCTGTGCTAACCCCTGTGCTCGCCCGCGCACCATGCAGAGGCGCTGCGGCGTGAGTTTGAGTTTGATGGGACGCACATGAGTCCTCTCTATGTGCCACTCCTGGACAAGGCACTCTCAAGCATCGCTGCACCATGACACCACTATGACAGCATGACAGCATTCCAGCCACAGGTTCATGATCATCCGTTTAATACTATAGATGTGGAGAACTGGAGTAGGCAGGAGTTCGGGATAGTTAAACGTAGGCTTATGTGAGATAGGGGAAACGTGCTAGTTACTTCACCTGAAGCAATGACAGGACAGTCAATGTTGTTCAACAAGTGTGTATGATGCTACGTAGAATTTCAATTGGATTTATGTGTACAACTATGCACCTCGAGTTTCAATGTACTGCTGCTAACGTTTGTATCACGTCACCAGCATTCCGAATCATCGCATACAGAGTCTCAATTTTCCATATTCGAAGTGTTCAACTTGGTTCGATTTGGGCTGCCGCGCCTTTGTCTGCCGTTCGCCCAGTCATTCCACCCACCCATACCTAGCATAGCAATAGTGCCTCGCGTCGCAGGAATCAACGGCGCGTCATGGAAGGAGGCGAGGAGCACGAGGGCGGGGCGGGCGCGTTCATGCCGTACATCAACAAGCGCAAGCGGAAGAACGCCGGCATCACTGTGACGTTCGACGAAAATGCCAGGAGGTGCGCTCCCTCTCGCACTCATTCCCCTTCGCCCGCTCTTCCTCCTTCGGCCGCTCTCCGCCCTACCATGCACCATCCACGCTTCCTTCGCCAGTCCCCCTTTTCCGTTTTTTCCGCGCGCGAAGCTTCCGTCTGCACGCGTAAACCCTCTTGAGCGAAACCCTCGGCCCTGTGCCCTGAACCCCCGCTCGGCGCGCAGGGAGTTCGTGTCGGGGTTTCACAAGCGCAAGGTGGAGCGGCGGAGAGTGGCGGAGGAGAAGCAGAAGCGGAAGAAGCGGCAGAAGCACCTGCAGGAGCGCGCCGAGGTGAGCGCCATGCGCACTGCCCTGCTCCCTGCCCGCGCCCCTCTGCCCTGCTTCCTGCGCGCCTGCAATTTTTTCTTGCTCTGCGTCTCATCTCGCCACTCCCGTTCAACCCCGCCGCCTTCTCCCCATTGCCTCCCCTCACCTTGCTCGTCCATCTCGCTCCGACCGCTTTTTCGTACTCCCACCTGTTCTCCCCGCGCTCCTCCGCTACGCCCCCTCTGCCCATATCTACCACCCCCACCCAACCCCTATCCAACCCCTCTTGCTTTGCCCCACAGCGACGGCTGGCAGCGAAAATGGCGAGGGGGGAGGTGGTACCAGAGCAGGGGGAGGGGGGTGGGACAGAGGGTGGGGACGAGGAGCAGGAGGAGGAAGAAGAAGAGGAGGAAGCCGGCGGGTGGAGAGGAGGGTAGGGAAGGGGAGGAGGTGGATGGGGAGGAGGAAGCGGGGTTTGAGCGGCAGAATGAGCGGCTGCTGTCTCTCGGCCGCACGCCGGCTGCTGCTCCTGTTGGTATGCCATCCCGTGCCACGCCCTTCACACCGCACCTTCCCTCCTTCCCTCTGACCACATCCATTTCACTCCATGACTGCCCTTCTCCACCTGCCCGATCTCCCTCTGTTTCCCAAGGTTTCCTGATATCCTTTCTTCCATCCCACTTTCCCTGTTCCCAAATGGCCTGCGTACCTCTCTTTCCCTCCTGCCGCCTGCCCCCACAGTGCTGCACTATGACAGTGGCAACCTGGAGACCTTCGTTACTGTCACCACCGACTTTGGAACACATGAGGACGAGGGGAGGGCGGCCAGTGAGGAGGAGGGAGAGGGGGAGGAGGAGGTCGGTGCTGTGGGGAATGGTGTAGGAAAACTGGGGGGGTCGAAAGCACATGGGCATAGTGAAGGGGTTGGGGGGAAGAAGGGTGGTGGGGGGGCCAAAAGCACGTCACTGCAGATAGCCAAGGGTAGCTGCAGGAGAAAAGGGAGGAGTGGAGGGAGGCAACAGATACGCAGGAAGAAAAAGTCGGGAGAAAAGGGGAAGGACTTGAAAAGGAAGAAGCGGCATGGGAAATAAGACAATGGTGTCTGCGTCAATTATTTCTTGCACTCGTTCTTCCCGTACAGGTCCAGCGCATTATAGATAAACGCCGGACTAACAGAGTGCCTAATAGGTTATTCTTTGCGGTGCTAGGTAGGTGGCATGTACTCTATGTTTTTATCAATGAACTCTTCCAGGTGGTGGCGATTTGCAGATTTGCCAACCTTATGCCCAGTGCTCACCAGAGGGCATTGCATCCCACCCCACCCACCACGTCTGATCTCCATGCCTGCCCTGCCTCATCCAGGCATGCTCCTAAAGTGTACAGAACACCTCCTAGTCTCCCTCCCTGTCTTTCCTGCTGTCTTTTTGCACTATCACCCCTGCTTCAGTATAATGAGCGTTCTGATTCAGAGTTTGCTCAGTGTATTACTGTCAAATGGGCAGAAGAAATATGGTGACTTCTATTATCATATCATAGATATATACAATATAGGGTTGCCCTAGTGTGGCTCACACCTATTGCGGTGCAGGGCAAGGGGAGGAAGCGGAGGTCAGCTTTGTGCTTCCCTTGCGCTTCCAGCCCTGATCTTGTGTTTATCTGTCACCTGCCTCCAACACACCCCACCACACATGCATGCTGGTACATCCAGCAACAAGGTTGTGGCTGACATGGCATGGCATGGCATGGTATGGTATGGTATCAGGCAGGCAGGCGGGCAGATAATAGCTGCATCTGCACCATCAGCACCCTCTTGCCGAGGGCCCAATGCTGCCGATGGATGGATTGCCATAAGGCATGCAGTAGAATGGATGGCGGGCGGGAGAGGGGGCCCACATGGAGGGGTTGAGCAGCGCAGAGTCGGACAGGAAGGGGCGAGGGAGCAGTGGAGGATGGCAGAAGCCCAATCAGGCTCAGACCCTGATAGCGAGAGCAAGGCTGGGTTGCAGGTGGATGTGCGTGTCATGCCACCACTAGCGCACCCCACGCCACGCCCTTCCGCCCGCCACACCGCGTTGCACCCCCTTGCACCACTGCCTTCTGCACCCCAGCCAAGCCTTCCAGCGGCTCCTTCTCTGCTCCGCCTGCCTCTCTCCCTCCTCCGGCCTTTTCAAGCGCCCTCTGCTGCTCCCTCGCGCTGCTGTCGTCGCCTGCCCTCTTCCCCCGTCCAGCCCTCTCAAGCCCCTCGTCCACGAGAAAGTAAGCCGGCAGGTACGTTCCCCCAATGGGGGTCCGCGGCAGTGCGAGGGGCTCAGCAGCAGGCGTGGGGGCGGAGAGGGGCGCGGAGGCAGGGGGGGTTCGCGAGCAGCAGCAGCAGGTGCAGGTGCGCGCGAGAGACATCTGGCGGCACGCGAGCAGCCAGAGCGAGGGGCAGAGCGCGGGGGGCTGTGAGGCGGAGGCCATCCAGTGCGCGGCGTCGCTGACTCGCACTGCGTGGTTGGGTAGCGTGTCGTGCACGCCTCCGATGGACGTGTACCTGCACGCAAACAGAGGCCGACAAAGGCAGACAGAAGTTGGCGGAAGCTTTCGTAAACGGTTGATCTGCTAGCAGATCTGACAAGCAGGAGGGAGACAGCAGGCATGCGGCATACCCTTGGTCGTAGAGGCAGCAGTAGGGCACGCGCGTGAGCAGCAGGAACTCCCAGACGTCGCGGTAGGTCCAGTGAAGAATCACGTTCACGCGCATGAACTCCGGCCACCCGGGCGAGCTCGCCGAAAACACCTCCTGCCCCTTCTGCGGAAATGAGGCGCCGCCATTTCGAAGTGCCACGGAGCAGGGGAAACGACAAGCAGAGTTATTTAGTCCTTCGCTGCGACAAGAACTTGCAGCAAATCCCACTTCGTCGGGAATACAGTATTAACTCGACTCAAGAGGGACGGACGAACGGTCAGAATCAGCCGGGAACTCACCCCGTTGGGGTCGATGCTTCGCACGCCCAGAAAGATGGCTTTGACGGGCCGCTGCTGCTGCAGCGCGCCGAGCCCCTCCTTGAAGGAATCGCCCGTCTCCACCAGGTCCAGCTTGTACCTGCCGACGCGTCGCCGCGACGCGCGGAGAAGAGGGGGACGGCACGGGAAACAGGAGACGAGGATGACGAGTCTGAGTCAGAGATAAGGAAACAGACGCCACAACCGTGCAACAATTGCTGGAACGCGTGCTGGCGGAAGGGCGCGACGACAGCGGGGTTCACGGGGAGCGCGAGGGCGCGGCGCACGCACTTTTGCGCCATGTGCAGGGTGAAGGAGTCGATTTCGGGGAACGAGTCGCGGTCGCGGAAGTAGATGGCGCACAGACCGTCGGCGCCGCGCACGGGCGGCTGGCGCGGCGAGATGCCGAACGACGCGACCTTGGACAGGCTCTTGCTCAGCGGGAGGTGCGACGCGGCGTGCTGCAGCTGCAGGCCCGGGGAGGAGGAGGAGCGCGGAAGGACCTGCGACTTCTGTGCTAGTGCGGCGCGCAGGAGATGCAAGATGACCTGCCCAAGGGGGTGACACAGCGATCCGCCCGAAAAATGGCAAAGGATTGAACAATTGAGGAAGTGATTGGTGGAAACGACGAGGGCCGAAACGCATCGGAAAAGCAATCGGATGAAGAGCAGTGCGACTCACCGTGGAATCTTTTCCTCCGTTGAAACTGAACGCGACCTCTTGGAGCCTACACGCGGAAAATGAAAAAAGGTTAGGCATTTGAATTACGCGAAAAGTAGTGTTGGAGCCGCGAGGAACAAAGAATTGGGTAGATGCATCATGATGCGCTTACTGGTACGTGGCGAGAGTTTGATGGATGATTGCCATGGACTGGTCGACTCTCCTGCAAAGCTCCTGGCTACCGCCGTTCTGGACAGCCATGAGGACCTCCATGCTTGGGCACGGGCATGCAGAGGATGCGCTTGGATCGGAAGCGAGCAGGTGGCGAGAAAGGAAGAAAGAAGGCGAAAGAATAGAGCTAGGCGAATGTATAGACAACGGTGTTGCTAGACAAAGGGAGCGTGACGTGAGTCCGAGTCGAGTCGAGTTGAGCTGAGTCTGGTGGGTGTGCGGATCAAATGATCATGGTCAATGCTGCGCTGGCTAGAAAGGCAGCTCCTTCAAGCTGAGAACCACACTGAGCACGCAAGCCTGGAGGGGCCGAAGTGGAGGCAGGCAGGATGTTGGGCGGGACAAGGGTAGCAAAAGGGACTCAATGCGCGCTTCGACTCAACGAAGCGCATCTTTACAATCGGCGCGAGTACATCTGCCCAATGATGTGGGATCGAATGGCCAGCGAACTGGAGCGCAGCCAGTCACGCGCGTCTCCTAGGGGTGTTGGGGAAAGGACATGCGAATCTGTCACTGCAAGCGGCGATAATCGTTGCCGCGCAAGCAGGAACTTTTGTGACACCCACCAACATCGGCAGGTGGAGCCAGCTAGGCCAAAAGTGATCGTGATTGTATAACAATTTTCAAGAGTCTGGGCAGAAAGGAAACAGTTGCATTCCGTGCTCGAAGTAAGAAAATGTGAAGCAATCTTGTTACATAATCGTTTATGGCATTTTTTTTCTTGGCATGCAAATCGTTGAAGGAAACCGCTTCACGAGCTGTGTGCCAACCTGTCCCCGTAATTTGAGGAGTCTGCTGGTTCCATATCGATCCATGAATTTCGCTTATGCGGAGCCAGTCGGAGCTGTCCCCAGCCTCCAACATGCTGTCTGCTGTCGTTTCAGGCGTGAAAAATAGGGCTTTACACCATCCTTGAAACGGTGACTCGGTACAACATATAAATTTTGAGAAATATAATTACACAATTTACACAGCCACGCTATTTCTCACAGGTTTGCACACTGGTGTCGTGGTGTAACAAGTCATGACACTTCGTTGGCTCGGACACCGAGTCTATCCCTTCGCGCACGCACAACCTGAATCTGCACATTCATTGGCTGTCATGCTCATGTCAGAACACTGACACCACGAACCGAACCTCTGGTTTCGCGTGACACTAATTTGCACATGCCTGACAGTACGGTTTTCCCGCTTCATGTGAATTTTCGCAATTTTGATCGAGGTCAGTCTTTCTTCTGGAGACGGTAGAGTTCCAGGTGTAGCAGATCGAACGGTGAAGACATTTTGATTGGGCAAGTTGTTGCAGCTGAACGGTTCACACCAAGCCACCAATTGCCACACACGGTCAGCAACCCTCCATCGCCTTGGAATTCCCGCCCGTCTCTAGGTTCCCGCGCATTCTCTCCCATGCTCTGGGTTCTGGTTGGGTGTGTGTGCCCTTGGAGGCCCGGCCCGAGCAGCAACCCCATGGCTCTCGTCGTCGATAGCACCACGTGCCAGATCATCTGGGTGCTGTGACGAAGCTAACCGACACGGGTGCGAACTTCCGCGAGCGTGTTATCGTAATCCAGACGCGGTAAAACAGGCTCGGGAAAAGAGTAAACAGTAAAGTGGTTGTGAACGCTGATATGGGTTTTAATGCGATCTAAAACAGTGACTTTGACTAAACCACCAAAACCCTATGAAAGTGGCGTTCACTGTGCGGAGGGCACAAAGCAAAGCCCAAGCCTCGCGGTGAGGCAAGAAAGGGGCATTGGCAAGGGCCGCACCCTATCTGCTCTCAAGCTGCTGGCCCTTACAAGAGAGGCTACTCCCTACAAGACTTTAGCACTGAAATTCAGATCCGCCTCAGTGAGGTAAGGACTGCCGCCTTTTGAACTTACCCTAAAGCCTCTTATGCGGTGATGTCAATGCAGTCAAGAGGATTATCAGCTTCTGTGCAACTTTCACCCCATCCTGCACTAGTTGAAATGTCACTTAATTCAACAGATCCGACAATAGGCAACGGAAGCCCTTTGAAAGGCTGGATGCCCCGTTTAGACTTCTCATGCGGGGTCTCCGACAGCCCTCGACAACCACCAAGCGGCGGCGGCAGCGCCACGCGCAATATCGGTAGTCAGCGCCCTTTATCGCGCACGTCTCTCTTCGGCAATCCTAACAGCGGGGTCGGGAGGAACTTGATGGATCGGCTGCAGCAGCAGGACGGCGCGGATCAGATTCAGCAGCAGCGACGACTCGCCTCGCATGCCGGCCTTTCCGCAGGAAAGGCTCTCGGCTCTTCCGCGGCTGCAGAGATGCAATCGCCTTCCAGCATGCCGCTCGGAGCCAAGATCGCTACATCCGAGGTCCCCGAGTCGTCGCCGATAAGTGTGCTCTTCTGTAAGTTCCCCTGGCTGCGGCCTCCCCGTGTCGTGCTATTCGTCCGCTCGGACCTACTTTGGACGCACAGCTACTTAAAAATAATCGCGATTGCGTTTCCCGGTGTTAAATAATCAATCTTCCGTGCCGGATTTGCTCGGTGGTAGGTTCACTGCCATCCGCGGGGCATTGGTTAACCTGCTGTTACGTCTCCGCTGTTGCATCTCCCCGCTGCCACCGCTCTCTCCAGGCCCTCAGACGCCATCGTCAGCAGCGTCTCCCGAGTTTCGCTTCGGCGCCAACCCCTCCCCTGAACTCCTCTCGCCCATGCGCATGCCGCCCTTTCACCAGCTGCTCCCCTCGCCTCTCTCTCAATCCTTCTCGCTCGCCGACACGCCAACCCAGGCGCCCGCCTCCGCGCCAAGTACCTCGGAGCCTACGCCGGCGACGTTAGCGACAGTGCCGGCGTTTCCTCCATCGCAAATGCCGTCGCCGTTGCCGTCGCCATCGTCGTCGGCGTCGGCGATGGACGTAGGTTCGGTGCCGTCGTTACAAATGCCGTCGGCGTCGGCGCACGCGCACGTGGCAGGGGAGGAGAGCCTTCCGCAGTTGGCGGAAGCCGGAGCCGGTGTTGGCAGGGGCGCGGATCAAATCGACGCGGATCGTGCCGTTCTTGACGGCGCGGCCGACGCGGGCGGTAGCGAGAAGTGCTTCTTGCGGCCCGCGCTGCCGCCTCTGAACATCGACGCGTGCAGCAGAGGGGGAAAAGTGCGCCGCGGCCATCTTCCGCCCATCCCGCTGCCGCGCAACCCGAGTTATTCCAAGGAGCACCGCCTAGGTCGCAGCGGCAGCGGGCGCAGCAGCGGCGCCTTTGAGGAACTTCTGCTCGCCGCCTCCGCCGCCTCGCCCTCCGCGCACCCGTCCCCGCCCGCCTTCGGCGCGCATCCCGCGCCGTCTGGGAGCTCCGGCGGCTGGCACTGGCAGAGCCTCAGCCAAGAGGTGCGTCGCCGCGCCGCCGCCTCGCACCGCGTGGCGTCACAGTCTACTGCTGTCAGGGCTCTAATTGATCAGCTTCACGCCGCTTGCGCGCCACGTTCTTTGCGCTCGTGCATTTCCTTCATTATCCCGCGTCTCAACCCCTCCCAGTTCAAAAAACCCGTGTCCCTTTTTAATCCTTCACCCGTCCACCCTCCCCACCACACCTCACCCCTGCACCCCCACACCCGTGCGCGCGTTCCCTGCTCCTCCCCCCCAAACCCCGTGCCCTTTATTGGCAGATGCGGTCGGCGCAGCACGCGTGGTCGCTGGAGGGTGGGGTGGCGGAGGAGGGCGGGTGGGGCGCGCAGCAGGCGGAGTGGATGGTGGGCGGGGACGACGAGGGGCTGGGGTCCGCGGAGTCGCTGCAGCTGATGCGCCAATGGGAGGCGGAAGTAGAGGGGCTTCCGCTCACGGTGGGGGGAACAGTGATGATGGGCATGGGGGGGCGATGGGCGGGGCGATGGGCGGGGGAATGGAGGGCGAGGAGGAGGAGGAGCCCGGGTCGCCCAGCACGCCCAGCATGGCTCCGCGCTCCACGGACCTCGAGTGCCCCGACGCCCCCAACTCCAGGTACGCGCCTCGCCGCGCTGCGCCCGCCTTTTCCGAGTCGCTCTGTTTCACCCACGCTGTCCTTGGATGATAGATACGTCTCCGCGTGTCCCGCGTTTCTGCCTGGCGCTGTAGTCGGAACGTTTGGAGTTGATGGTGCTAATGCACATGTGCTGGGTGGGGTTGTTCCGCTGTGTGCGCGCGTGTGCGTGTGCGTGTGCGTGTGCGTGTGCGTGTGCGTGTGTGTGCGCGCGTGTGTGTTGTGTCTTTGCGAAACGCGGCGCGCAGGGTGCGGGGCGAGATGTGTCGCACGAGCAGTCTGCACGACACGAAGCTGCTGATGACGACGCAGCTGAAGCGGTCGCACTCCATATTCCTCTTCGACCGCCACTTCGAATTCGTGCGCGAGATAGGCCGCGGCTCCTACAGCATGGTCAGTCCCGCTCGCTTCCACGCCCACTCCCACCCTCTTCCCTGCTCCCCCCACTCTTCTCCCTCCCCACTCCCCCCCCATTGTTTACCTCCCCCACCATTTTTCGCCCCACCCCACCCTCCCCTCCCCGTCTTGCGTCCTCCTTTCCTCCCTGCCCCATCTCACCCCCACTCTTCCTATTTCTGTTATCCCTCTTGTTCCCTCCCCAAAGCCGTCACCATCCCCTATCCCCTCTCCTCCTCTAATCTTTCTCAACCCCCTCTCGCCCCGCCCCGCCTTCCCCCGCGCGCGCAGGTGTACGAGGCGCGCGACCGCAAGGGCGGCGCACGGTGCGCGGTGAAGGTGAGCAAGCGGCAGTTCCGCAGCAAGGGCGAGCGCGAGCGGTACATGCACGAGATCGAGAGCGTGGCGAACGTGCCCGAGCACGCGCACATCGTGCGGTACTACCGCGGGTGGCAGCAGGACAGCCACTTCTACCTGCAGATGGAGCTCTGCGAGGGCGGTAGCCTGCGCGCCCTCCTCGACTCGCTCTCGCACCCACTGCCCGAGGACCAGGTGCGCTCACGTGCACGCGCACGCGTGGGGCAGGGTGCAGGCGGGGGGAGGGGAGGAAGGGCGGGTTGGTTGGGGGGAGGGGGTCTTGTTGGAACACGAGCGCCTAGGGTCTCTGAGCGGCATAAACTCGAGACGGGGAGGAGTGACTTGCGAACTCATAGGCTGTGGTGATGGAGCTTGAGGCATGGGGCATGGCGCATGGGGCATGGGGGATGGGGCATGGCGCATGGGGCATGGGGCATGGGGGATGGGGCATGGCGCATGGGGCATGGGGGATGGGGCATGGCGCATGGGGCATAGGGGATGGGGCATGGCGCATTGGCATGGGCATGGGGTGTGGGCATGGCCACGTGTGGTTGGGCGCCTGAAGGGAGGTGCATTTCTTGCAGCATTCCCTCTTCATTACCACCACATGTTCCGGGTTCCGTTGCCTAACAGCTGTAGCGTGCAATGCAGCGCCTCACCGGTATGACTGTACGTGTGACTATGCGTGCATGGTGCAGGTGTGGAGGTTCGTGCGGCAGGTGGCGTCAGGGTTGGATCACATTCACAGCAGGGGCGTCTTGCACCTGGACATCAAGCCCGACAACATCTTCATCGACGCCCATGGTACCGGCCCCCTGCCCTGCCATGCCTCGCCCCTCCTCTCACCTCTTGCCTCCCCTCGCTCGTTGGTTCCTTTCATCTACCAGTCCGTGTCCGCTTCTCTTTCTCTGTATCGTTATCGGTCGGATGTGGGTATGTGTCTTGTGCAGCTGTGAACCAACCCCTGGCTGTGCGTGCTTTGCTTTGCCTGCAGGTAATCTCAAGATCGGGGACTTCGGGCGGGCGGTGTGGGAGCAGCGGTGGGACTGGGAGGAGGGCGACGGGGGGTACCTAGCCCCGGAGTTGCTACAGGACGAGCCACCCACCACAGCCACCGACATGTATAGCTTCGGCGCCATGCTCTTTGAGCTCGTCTTTGCCACCCGCCTTCCTCGCTCTGGCCTACCGCCCTCCGCCTGCCCCTCCCCCTGCGGTGCGCCCTCCCCTTTCAGTGCGCACGGCGCCCCCTCCCCCTACGGCATGCCTTCCCCCTACAGTCCCTCCCCGTACTGCGTGGCCTTCTCCTCTGCTGCGCCCTCGCCTGTGGCGTCTGCGCCTGGTCGCGCCAACCCCAGCTTCCCCCCGCCGCGCTCCACATCCCGGGGGCAGGCAGCCCTGCCAAGGGGGGAGGGAGTCCGCTGAAGGGGCTGGGGGCGCGGGGGGGCATGGGGGGCAGTCCTGTGAAGCCCATGGGGGGGAGTGGTAGCAGCCCAGTGAAGGGCGGAGGAGATGGGGTTGGTAGTCCAGCAGAGAGAGGTACAGAAGGCAGCCCGTGCAAGAGCATGGGGCGTAGAGGGAGCGGGGGGTTGGCAGGTTCTGTGGCAGGTGCGGCAGGGGGAGGGTCGGGGAAGGATTGGAGCGCAGCAGCGGCGGCTGCAGCAGCAGCTGTGGCAGCAGCGGATGCAGCGGTGGGTGCTGGGTGTGGGCGGTCGGAGCATCTGAGGGAGCTGGTGTTTGCACTGCTGCACGTGGATGCTCAAGAGAGGCTGCAGGCACATGAGGTGGTCACCATAGCAGATGCAGTGCTGCGAGGGGAGGTGGACCTGGGGCAGGGGTGCATGCACAAGGCTCGCGAAGGGGCAGAGCAGTGTGGGGAGGAGCAACAGCAACATGTGGAGCAGATGCAGGGCGGGAGTGAACCTGAAGGGCAGTGCGAGGAGGCTAATTGTGACGATAGTGGGGCTGCTATGGCGTTAGATTGAGTTGGCGGAGAGTAGTTTTCTAGTGTAATTTCTTTGTATGGTGATGGGGGCTTTAGGCCTGTCGTTTGCCCAAGAGCCACACGCGTTGGTCAAGGCCGGAATAAAATGGCCAGTCGCGGAGGTTTTAATTCTGTTTTTCCCTTGGAGAATGATCTGCGAGTTGCACATTTGTCCAGATATCAGTCAATCTAGCTTTGAAGAAAGCACTTTATCAGGTAGATAGTGTAAACTGCAATGTGAATTGTATTGTATCTTTGGAAGGACAGAAGCTAAAAAATTGCTTGACTGCAGGCCTTACAGGTGGGTTTCCCTTGCTCGGAAATTGCATCCAGCTCATGCAATATCTAGCCAATCTGGCACTTGGTCATCTTCACATTGGACCAGCACAGCACCATCCACACAATCATGAGCAGGAGTGTGAGCAGCACCGAAAGCACTGCTTCCCATCAGTTGCCTGTCTGTCACTCCTCAACCATGCCATGAGCTACCCCTCCCCTCCCCATGCCATGCCATAAGCCACTGAGCACAGGGGCACGTGCAGTGGGGGAACATCAAGGCCAGGCACCAAGAAGGCAACTACTGCAGGCACACAGTGGCACAGCAGTGGCCCTTGTGAACCAGGCAGTGCTTGTGGGCAAGAGCAACAACAAGGACAGCATGGTTCGTCTGCCCTGTGTGCGGAGAGATTCCTCCACGAGGGGGTGGGAGAGGGGGCTTCTGAAAGAGGATAGGGTGCCATGTTGTGGTGAGAGGCGTGAGGTGGCATGGGGTGGCATGAGGTGGCATGGGGTGGCATGGGGTGGCATGGGGTGGCATGGGGTGGCGTGGGGTGGCATGGGGTGGCGTGGGGTGGCGTGAGGTGGCATGGGGTGGCGTGGGGTGGCATGGGGTGAGATGGCTATGGAATGTAGTGAAGGTGCGGGGAGTAGACGCGCCACATCACAGAACACGTGCAACACCATATGTGCTCAACATACACGTGCAACACCATATGTGCTCAACATACACGTGCAACACCATATGTGTGTCAAATGTTGTAGCCTATAGTGAGGTTTGTCTTAGGGGGTACAAAACTTAGGGTTAGCTATATGTACCCCAACCAACATCAATGCATCATCCATTCTTCATTTTGACATGGTATCAGATAGGTTAGGATCCTGTGGGATCCCGTTCCGCCGTTCTCCGTTCGTACCACCCGAGCCTGATCCTAGCTCTCGTTCGTCTCCTTCTCGTTGTTACCGAGCCTAGCGCCGAGCCACGCTCTCGTTCGTATCGTTCCAGCTGTTACCGAGCCTAGCATCGAGCCACGCTCTCGTTCGTAGCGTAGCCCGCCCCCCCCCCCCGTCGCGTCGCCTTCCCCCCCCCCCTCGAGTCGCGCCCGTCCCTTTCCCCCTGTCGCGTCGCGCTCCCCCCGTCGCGTCGCGTCCGCGCCTTCCCCCCGTCGTGTCGCCTTCCCCCTGTCCCGTCGCGGCCCCCCCCTTTCCCCCCGTCGTGTCGCCTTCCCCCTGTCCCGTCGCACCCGCCCCTGTCCCGTCGCACCCGCCCCTTTCCCCCCGTCACGTCGCCTTCCCCCTGTCCCGTCGCACCCGCCCCTTTCCCCCCGTCACGTCGCCCGTCCCGCAGCGCCCGCCGCTGTCGCTCGCGACCGCACTCGTCGCCGCCGCGCCTGCAGCCGTCGCCCGCCCCCTGCGTGCCTCGCTGCGGCCCCGCCGTCGTCGCCCGCCGCTGCGCGCGTCGCCGCTGCGCGCGCTGCTGGCCCCTGCTGCCGTACGCGCTGCCATCGCCCGCCGCTGCGCCCGTTCTCGTTCTCCGCTGCTTAGTCCCCTGTTACCTCCCGCTGTCACGCCCGCTGTGGCGTCCGCTCCTCCCCTGTCCCAGAGTACCGCCGAACCCTAATTTGCCTCTCATCTACTGCTGTCCCCTCCCTCTCCGTTCGCGTTCGTTTTCGCTATGGCGACTCAGCGTGTCCTTCGTTTCGACGCTGACGGTAGACCTCTTGATTTTTCCGTCTGGCTTCTTCGTGCTCGCCGTCTGTTAGAGAGTCAGGTCCAGGCAGGCGAGTCCCTCTGGGCGCACGCTACTGGTGCCCTACCTGCGCCCCTTGACCCTACGCCTTTAGGACCTGCCCCTGACGACGCCGCTAGAGCCCGCTTTGCCACTCAGCGAGCTGACCAGACGGCTTGGACGTCACGTGACGCTGCGGCCTGCATCGCGCTCAGCAGCCTCCTCCCTGAGTCTGAGGAGGTTCACTTCACTCAGGTTCGCACCGCTGCTGCGTACCTCACTGCGATTAAGGCCCGCTACTCTACTCCCGCTGCTGTCTCTCTTGGCCGCCTGTTCCTCCCGTTCCTGTTTCCTGACCTGGCGTCTTTTGAGCGCTCTGCTGACTTGATCGCTCACCTCCGCTCGCTCGACGCTAGTTACCGCGCTGCTTGCACTGAGGCACAGCTTGCACTGCTTCCTCCCCCTATGGCGATTACTATCTATTTCATCGCCACTAGCCTCCCTGACCGCCTTGCCTCCGTTCGCGACGCGCTTCTGCTGAAGCACCCTAGTGAGCTCACCGTCGAGGTCCTTGAGTCTGCACTCAAGGACGTCGAGAGCAACCTTCGCTCGGTAGCCGCTGCCTCTGGTGCTGTGCCCCCCCCACTCTTCCACGGGTGCACAGTCCCGCAGTTACCCACCTTTACTGCCTCACTTGCCACTGCCGCTACTGACGCGACTGCAGCTGCTGTTACGACTGCGTCGCGGTCCCGCGGTAGGAGTGGCAAGAAAGGCGGTTCTGGTGGTGGTAGTGGAGGTGGAGGCGGAGGTAGTGGAGGTGGCGTTGCGCCTGGCGGCGGTGGAGGTTCAGGGCCTGGAGAGGCGCCTCGTGCAGTGACTGGTGACTCCACTGCGCCTGCTGGTAGTGGCGACGCCCGAGTTCGTCAGTCGCCTCCTGTACTTCCTGCCCCGGTTGGTGGAGCAGCGGCGTGGTACCAGGCTCAGCGTCAGCAGCAGCTTCTGCAGCACCAGCAGCCCCTCTCCTCCCAGCAGCCTCAGCAGCAGCAGCGGCAGCAGCTGGCTCCAGGGTCGGGGCTGCGTCAGACCCAGCGCGGTGCTGCTTACACTCCCTGCACCTACCAGGTTCTGACAGGCACTCGTCGTGGCCACCCTTGTGGCCGGTTTCACCCCCCTGGTCAGTGCTTTGCTCAGCTCACTGACACGGTTCGTTTGGTCTACGGGGTTGGTGCTCCTGCCCCTGACTGGCTGCCTCTTGTTCAGCGCTACGGCTCCGCTCTGTGGGGCATGTCTGCTGAGCAGTTAGTTGATCTGATTGGTACTCCCCATGCTATGTATGCTGTTGTTGACTCTAGTGTTTCTGACTCTGCTTACTCTGCTGTTGTTAGCTTAGGTGCTAGCCTTGCTCAGTTGCCTGTTGCTAGTGTAGGTTCTTGTGTAGACTCTAGTCCAGCGGCTACCTCAGAGGACGGTTCGCTGTCGTTCACGCTGGACTCTGGAGCCTCTCACTGCTTCTTTCGTGACAGCACGACACTTACGCCTCTTCCTGCGCCTGTTTCTGTGGCGCTGGCTGATCCCACTTCGGGACCAGTCACCGCGCGTCACACTACCACCTTGCCGTGTCCGGCTGCTCCTTCTGGGTCTCTCACTGGGTTTCACGTCCCCTCGTTCTCCCGGAACTTGGTGGGCGTGCGACCCCTCGTGAGTCAGCACGTGGGTGTGTGGTTTGAGCCTTCTGGAGAGACTGCGGTGTGTGTTGACGGGGACTCTTACCAGCCCCTCGCCATCTTTGCTGCTGAGCCGGGCTCCGGTCTCTACACTCTTCACACTGGCCCGCGCCCTCAGCAGCGACTGCAGCAGCAGCAGCAGCCGCAGCAGCAGCAGCAGCCGCAGCCGCAGCCACAGCCGCCCCTCCTGCCCCCGGCCCCTGTTTTGCCCCCCGTTCGAGTCCTCGCGTCTCACCAGGTTGCTCCGTCCCCCCAGGTAGCTGTGTCTTGTCAGGTTCCTCCGTCTAGTCCGGTCGCTGCGTCGTGCTCCTGTCGGTCGCTTGCCCACCCCACCGTTTTGTGGCACCACCGGCTGGGGCACCCTTCTCCTCCTCGTCTTCGCGCTATGTCTCGTCAGCGTCTTGTCTTAGGTCTCCCGCGTGTCTTGCCGTCGCTGCCGCCGTCCCTTGCACCACCGTGCGGTCCTTGCGTCGAGGGTAGGCTGCGCGCCACCCCTCACTCCTCCTCCCTTCGTCCGGCCACCGAGCCTTTTGAGACGCTGCACTTGGACGTCTGGGGCCCCTCTCCTCGCCCTGGCCCTGAGCGTGAGCGTTTCTTTTTGGTGGTCGTTGACGACTACTCCCGCTACACCACAGTGTTCCCCCTGGCGAGGAAGTCTGAGGTGACTTCTACGCTGATCAGGTGGTTGCTTACCACCCAGGACACTCGTGGTCGTCGTGTCAGCTGTCTCCACTCCGACCGCGGGGGCGAGTTTCGCTCCGGCATTCTCGCTGGATTCTGTCGCGAACAGGGCATTCGTCAGTCCTGGACGCTTCCGGAGTCCCCACAGCAGAATGGGGTTGCTGAGCGTCGCATAGGCCTGGTCATGGAGATTGCCCGCACCTCCTTGACTCACGCCCGTGCCCCCCATTTCCTGTGGCCATACGCGGTCAGGTACGCCGCGCACCAGCTGAACCTCTGGCCACGCGTCTCTCGGCCGGAGGCTTCACCGACCAGTCTTTGGACAGGGTCCCCTGGTGTCGCGTCGAGGTTTCGTGTCTGGGGGTGCTTGGCTCTTGTCCGCGACACCTCCGCGGACAAGCTCTCGCCTCGCGCCGTTCCTTGTGTTTTCCTTGGTTTCCCTGAGGACTCCTCTGACTTCACCTTTTACCACCCTCCCTCTCACCGGTTCTTTGACTCCCGTGACGTCCGTTTCGAGGAGTCCACCCCCTACTACGTCAGGTACCCCAGTCGAGGTCTCCCGGTCCCTCCCCCCCCTCTCTTCCTGACCGC